GGCTGGCCTCAAACTCACAGTGATCCACCTGCCTTTGCCTCCAGAGTTCTGGGATTAAAGGTATGTGCCTCTAATTCCAGCCTGGTACACACTCGTAATCCCAGAATTTGAGAGACAGTACCAGGAAGATCTCTGAGTTCAAGACTAACCAGGGCTACATAGTGAGAGCCTGTCTTAAAGCAACACCCCAGAGTCCCAATGGCAGATACCACTCCTCACCACATTCCCTTCCCCTTTATAAATGGGGGGGGGGAGGAACAGAGAGAGGTGGCTTGTGCAAAGGGAGGAAGAAAATAGGGAAGGGCAAGCTGGGTCTTTGGGGAACAGCAATAGGTAGAGGATTAAGACAGCTGAAAGCAGTAACCACAGAACAGCTATCTCCATCACTGGGGTAAGCAGAGGACCTCAGGCGCCAGCACATTTGCCAGCTTTCGCTGCCCAGTGCTCCACTCTAAGCTCCGAGAAGACAGAGATCATAACCATCATATACCATTGTATGAAAGCGCTAGCACAGTGCTTGCCCCTTGGATGACAGCAAATGTCTTGGATAGAAAGCCTGCTGTTTCACAGTTGGAAAGCACTTTAGCAGACCTCTCCTTATGCCTGAGTTAGACCTTTGGCCAGCTTTGTCTCTTCCCAGGCAAGCAGAGACAATTCAGACTCCAGAGCAGTATTCTAGACAGCTCTCAGTTGTTTCCTCCAGGGACCAAAACTTCAGGAGGGAAACTAGAGTGCCTAGCCTCACCCTTACATTCTCTAAGTATGAAGATTATCCAAAGACCCCATTCTTGTTGATCAAGCTCCCAGTCTTACCTCCTGCCGGTGGTAGGAGGTGTTCAGAAAGCTACTGTAGCGCTGCCGCAGAGCCTGACCTAGCTCCCAGTGCTGTAGCATCCCCTCCTGTGGGCAAACATGAGGGTTAAGAAAGTCCAAAGGAGAGCCAGGCGTTGGTGGCGCACGCCTTTAATCACAGCACTCGGGAGGCAGAGGAAGGCGGATCTCTGTGAGTTCAAGACCAGCCTGGACTACCAAGCGAGTTCCAGGACAGCCTGTCTCAAAAAACCAAAAAAAAAAAAAAAAGAAGAAAGTCCAAAGGGAAGAATGGCTCATAGACCCTATGGCATTTAGGCATTCTTCCCTTGACAAGGAGTGAGTTTGATCCCAGAATTTAAGTGGTCAGTTGTGAATGACACTGTCCTAGACATGGAGTATTGTTAAGAAATCTGGTCGTGCTCAGAGAAATAGCTCAGTGTGCTTTTTGCAGACAAGGTCCTGTATCTGATTTCCAAAACCACAAAAAAACAAAAACAAAAAACCCAGCAAAATGGACATCTGGCCCATCTGAACCTATGTGGGAAACTAGCAGTTTAGGGAGGCTCAGTTTCTGTGCTCCAGACGCGACCCATTCTACAGCCCATCCCAGGGCCTTCCTTTACAGGTTGACTTCTGACCCACCTTGGTTAGCTGACCAAACCCCTGGGGCCACTTCTCTTCCTGATAGGGGTCCTTAGGATATGTCTTCACTGGTGAGCGATCTCCATGTCGATACAGCTGAGTAAAGAAAACGGTTTGTCTACAGATCAGAAGGGTCTTCTGGTTAAGGACAGGGCCCACCTCTACCCATGTCAGGAAAGGACATCTCACTCTCTCTGGAAGCCTTTCCACTAAGCAATGAAAAAAAGAATCCCAGTTCAGGTTTCTAACAAGGCCATGCAGTGTAACTCGAAATAATAGGCAAAGCCAAAAGCACAGGTAGAAAAGAATAGTGCAAGCAATGCACTCTGGGGGAGGAGGCGGGCAATGACTGGGGAAACAAAGATCATAGAAGTCGTCTTTATGGGTGACTCTCGGCCTTTTAACTACATTCCCATCCTTGGGAAGATTCATCCCAGGGAAAAATAGCCCCTAACATTACTTGGTCGCCCTGCCCTGCAAAATGACCTAGGGCTCCAAATCAATTCTCAATCCAGCCTCGCAGCCCACCACGGGCCAGCGGCTTCCTAAACCAGTTCTTTCTCCTTGAGAAGTCAGACCCCAGACCCCAGAGCACAAGCTCTGCCCCTCCCTCTACCAGGCGGCCTTCGCCCTTTCAGCTTTGGCGAACCCGTTGGTGACTCCGTCACCCATTACCAAGGTAACAAAGCGCAGACTCCGGGCCTGTGTGGGTGGCATCACCGTTAGGCATATGCCAAGAAGAAATTGGAGAAGAGCTGCCTGGCTCCAACCAGACTGTCTGCCCGCCATCACCGTTGTTGGCTGTGCAGCCAAGGAGCCGGAACGCCTTGGGCGGTACCTGCTGCAGACGCCCGGATGCATTCGTATGGACACTTGCCGGAAGTGTATTCTTCGCCATCTTTCTAGCGGCGGGCGGGGGGTGTGAGAGAGAAAGTCTGGCAGGCAAAGGCGGAATTTGGGAGGTAATACTCACGGAGAAGGTTTACGATCGGCGGTGATGGGCGAACTTACGAATGTAGCGCGATATTCCGGACAGAAAAGGCTTAAGGACCTTGTCAGGCTCTCCTCTTCCTCTACCAGGCTGGTGCTTGCCCTGGGTAGGGTCTTAGCCTGGAGAGCGAGCGCCTCCTCTGAGGCGTTATTCCGGAGCCTCAGCTGGTGCAGAATTGGGGTGAAATGTGGGGAAGTTTAGGGCATCACTTTGTACGCCTGTCTTCTGTGTATAGTTTTGAGCCTTGGCTCTGACAGTTTCCCTAAGTGGTCTTGTTTGGGGTGTTTGGCGCTGCATGTAAACAGCCCTTGGGAATCCCTGTGTCTGATCCAGTCTAGTCCACCATTCATTTCCTGAACAAACCTTTAGTTTACCTCTCACTGCCCAGTTTCAGTTCTTTCTAAATTAAATTAGGCTCAAAACATCATGGTTTCTCTCGGGGAAGTTGGGTTGTATAGGATGATCAGATTTCCCAAATCCGCTGCATCGAATTCCTATGGGAGGAATTTCAGACAACGGGGGCAGTAGTTTGATGCAGGCATATAAGTGTGGAATTTCCACAGAATCAGAGGCAGACACTAGCCTTTAGGATTTAGGATCAGATAGCCAGTCTGGTCTCCAGATATTGTGACTCCAGACCTTGTAATGACACTGTCAGATCTTAGACCCTTGGTATGCTTTGATGCAGATCTTCCTACTACAAGCAAACTCACCTCAGATTATCCGCCAACAACAAACTGATCAGAATTATTACTGTCCCAGGACTTCAGATAAAATTGTGTACTGACTGACTAAACTTTACTTTCAAAGTCACCTTGCAAAGACTGAGGAGTGAGCAGAATAAGAAGGCTTGAAAACTAGGTTCTTACTAAAAAACAAAGCAAACACACACACATAAAATTCAAGGCTCTAGCTAGGTGGTGGTGACACACGTCTTTAGTCCCAGCACTCAAAGAGGCAGAGGCAGGCAGATCTCTGAGTTCAAGGCCAGCCTAGTCTACAGAAAAAGTTCCAGGACAGCTAGGGATACACAGAGGAACCCTGTCTCAAAAAACACAACAACAGCCGGGCGTTGGTGGCGTATGCCTTTAATCCCAGCACTCGGGAGGCAGAGGCAGGCGGATCTCTGTGAGTTCGAGGCCAGCCTAGTCTACAAGAGCTAGTTCCAGGACAGCCTCCAAAGCCACAGAGAAACCCTGTCTCGAAAAAACCAAAAAAAAAAAAAAAAAAAAAACACACAACAACAACAAAAAAACAAACTATAGCCAGGCGTTGGTGGCGCATGCCTTTAATCCCAGCACTCGGGAGACAGAAACAGGCGGATCTATGTGAGTTCAAGGCCATCCTGGTCCACAGAGTGAGTTCCAGGACAGCCTCCAAAACAATACAGAGAAACCCTATCTCGAAAAAACAAAAACAAAAAACCAAACTATTTTCTGTGTGTGGGTGTTTGACCTGTATGTATATCTGTGTACAATGGCCTGGAAGGCCAGGCCAGAAGATGAACAGCCATGTGGGTGCTGGGAATAAAACTTGATCTTCTGGAATAGTAGCTAGTTCTCTTAACAACTAAGCCATCCCTCCAGCCTTTTGTTTTGTTTGTTTTGTTTTGTTGTTTTTGTTTTTCAAAGCAGTGTAACCCTGACAGTCCAGGAATTCACTCTGTAGCCCTGGCTGGCCTTGAATTCAAGAGATTCCCCTGCCTCCGTAGTGCTGGGATTAAAGCACAAACCACCACACCCAGCGACACACCCAGCTAGTTCTTTGTTAACCACAGGTTCCCTAGTTCTTAGCTTTCTTAACCACAGGTTCCCTTACAAGTCACATGAAAAATTAGCCCTTTCTCCAGAAAACGTGTCCAAACATGAACATAAAATACAATTTTGCATATAATCTTAAGTGATTCACAATGATCTTCCATAGGCTTATAAAATTAGGAAGCCAACCCAGAGAGAAAGAGAAGTGATTTGCTAAATTTACACAGTTTAGAGAATGGATTGAAATTCAAATTTGCTTATTTTTGTTGTTGTCTTTTGAGACAGGGTCTCATGTAGCCCAGGCTAGCCTCACACTTCTGATCCTCCTGCCACCACCTATGAACACTGGAATTTCGAGTGTGCACCCAACTCCAAAGTCTTCTTTCCCTCCCTTTCTTTCAGATAGGACTAGGGTCTTGCTTACCTCCTAAATGTCCAAACCATATGCTGCCATGCCTAGTTTTCTGCTTCGTATATAATTAATCTGTTGTTTATGTTTTAAATATCTATTTGTGCGTTGCATGTGTAGAGGTCAGACACAGCTCTCAGGAGTCCCTGCTCTCCTACAGTGAGACTGAGCTCAGATGGTCAGGGTTGCCAGCAAGTGCCCTTCCCTGCTGAGCTGTCTCACCAGTCCACCCCCATAATATAAAATGCACTGAGCTGTGGTGGCACATGCTTTTAATTCCAGCAATCACAAGGCAGAGGCAGGTGGATTGCTGAGTTTGAGGCCAGGCTGGCATAGTGAATTCTAGGACAGCCAGGGCTACACAGAAAAATCCTGTCTTGAAAAACAATAAAATAAAGAATGCTTCACAAATTTTCTTGTCATCTTTTTGCAGGGACTATGTAGAGCTCTCTGTATTGTTCCAATTTTAGTGTATGTACTGCCAAAAATAACACTGTAATGGACAATTTCTTACCATCTGTTCAATCAGGCTGCATTGGTAAACCATATAGGGTAGCCCAAAGTACCTTGAGTTTTATCAGAGGAAACCTTTCACATAAGTGGCATCAAATAAAACATGACTTACTAAGGCTGGGTGGTGGTGGTACACTCCTTTGGTTCCAGCACTTGGGAGGCAAAGGCAGGTGAATCTTTGTGAGTTCAAGGCCAACTTGGTCTACAAATAGAGTTCCAGGACAGCTAGAGCTGTTTTGCAGAGAAAACAAACAAACATGACTAACTGATAAGAACATATTAGTGGGGAGTTGTTTTGTTTGTTTTGAGACAAAGTCTCATTTTGCAGGCTAGGCAAGCCTACGACTTAAAATTCTCCTGCCGCTATTTCTCTAGTGCTGGTATTATAGGCATGTTCTCCACATGCATCTCATGGAATTGTTTTTTTGTTTTTGTTTTTGTTTTTTTGTTTTTTGTTTTGTTTTGGTTTTTTTGGTTTTACGAGACAGGGTTTCTCTGTATTGTTTTGGAAGCTGTCGGACCAGCTGCCTACCTCTGCCTCCCGAGTGCTGGGATTAAAGGCGTGCGCCACCACCGCCCATTGAAATTGTTTTAAGATTATATTGTTATCCTAGAACATGGCAGATTGAGGCAGGAAGATCAGGAGTTCAAGGACAGCTTCGGTTACATAGCAAGTTCAAGGCCAGGCTAGGTTACATGAAACCCTGTCTTGAAAAAAAAATGTTAGTATAACTTTCCCTCTGCAAAATTATCCATGCAATGTGCTTACGTAATGTAAATGTTTAGCTCACCAAATAGAATAAAAATCTATTCGTTGTCTTTCTTCCCCCTTGCTCAAGTATGTCTATCTACACCCTGTCTGTAAGCATCTGTGTAGGAGGATTGGTGAACCAGTTGTTATTCTAGTCTGTGTGAAATGATTCCAGGATAATATTGACACTGCACATTAATGGTAGAGCCCACAGCAAAGCTTTACTTCCGAGATTCCTCAGCCTTTGTATTATTTTCTACAGATGATTTGAGGTTATTTTCATCTTGGTTCCTTACAGTTGGGGTGGGGGAAGACATCGTGTACATGTAAATATTCATGGACCTATTCCAGACCAAATAAATTAGTTTCTGAACAATCGCTTTACCTAGTAATGGCAGATGCAAACCTAAAACCACGTGAGTTATCTTTTTTTTTTCTGAGTTTTGGAGGCATCCTTGTAAAATGGGATAAAGTAGGTTTGTTTATTTTATTTTAGTTTCAATTTGAGCATGAGCTTTTTTATTTATGTATCTGCATGTGTGTATGCACATGAGTGCAGGTGCTCATGGAGGCCATCAGATCTCTGGAGCCAAAGTTACAGGGGGTTGTGAGCCACCCAACATGGGTAGGAGGAACTGAACTTGGGTCTTCTTGTAGGAGCAGCAAGGGATCTTTTTTTTTTTTTTTTTTTTGGTTTTTCGAGACAGTGTTTCTCTGTGGCTTTGGAGGCTGTCCTGGAAAGTCCAGGCTGGTCTCGAACTCACAGAAATTCGCCTGCCTCTGCCTCCCGAGTGCTGGGACTAAAGGCGTGCGCCACCACCACCAGGCCCCTTCTCCTAAGATTTACTGTGAGACATGGTACATACACATACATGCAGGCCCTCACACATACACATAAAAATAAATAAAGACCACTGGATGGGAAAATCTACTTATTGTAACTACTGTTCTATTTTCTTTAGAATGCCCCTTTGCCAGGTATCAACTTTTCAATAGTTTTGCCATATACAAAATGTGGAGTTTTTTTGTTTTTTTGTTTTTTTTTTTTGGTTTTTACAAGACAGGGTTTCTCTGTATTGTTTTGGAGGCTATCGGTCCAGCCCGGCCTCGAACTCACAGAGATCCGCCTGCCTCTGCCTCCCGAGTGCTGGGATTAAAGGCGTGTGCCACCACCGCCCGGCAATGTGGAGTTTTATAGTGAAGAACTATTCTTTTTTTAAATTCCCCAGATAAATAGTTTAATTTGTGAAGCATCAAAAAAAAAGATTTACTGTGAGAATACATGAAATGATAATATATGTAGAATAAATTATGCAGAAAAGCCTAAGTAAATATTGCATTTCTTCTTTGTGTTCTACCTTCTATATCATGTCTAAACATATGAGGTTAGGAAATGGGTTCCTAGATTCTTTATTTTGTGATAGGAGATGGGACAGAAGTCAGCATGAGTGGGTTCCCAGGCTTCTGGAAGATGGTTCCCTCACTTTCTACTCATCTAGAGCACTGAAAGAAAGATCCAGAGCAGTAACTGCCCCAGTCCACCTCTGCAAATCTTACTCTATGGCCTGCTTAGTGGGAAAGATTGCCTTTGGGGGAGTTATTTACTGGTGAATGCTGCTGCTTCTAAGCCTAGAAGTGACCTCTGGAGGTTTGGAGTAGAGGAATCAGAGATGTGACTTGTAGGATTCCCCAAGGACGATGCTTCCTGTAAGTTAAGAAAACCCAGGGAAGGCCCACAGGACTGGGATGCCTTGGCCTTAGCACTGTGGATTAATGGAACTGTGGGTTAATGGCACTGTGCCATGAGGGTGGGCTGGTAAAGTAGGACGTGTGTGCTTCAACTGTTGATCACCTGATTAGTTGCCCTGGCTTGGGCAGAAGTCCCAGTGGTCAGTCGCTGGAAAGTCTGTGGAGATGCCATCCCTTCTCCCCCTGTAACCTGAAGGCGTGGGTAGCCGTGGTGGCCAGGAACAGCTAATGGATGCTGAACTGCGCTGCCTCCCTGGCTTAGGGAAGGACCTTCTTGTTCAGCAGCTGCCTTGCCTGGGTCTGTGGACTCCAGCTTGGGCTAGTGGGGTCTGGGATGCACCCTGGGAAGTGGTTAGGGGGTCAGGGGAAGGAGTAGGATAAGGGATGGATGGGGGAAGACTTTTTTTTTTAACCCCTAGAAAACATGTCACTGGGCTTGAGGCCAATGTTACATCTCGATTTCCTTGAAATGAAGTGTGTCAGGGGCATCTCTGAGTGTGCTACTGGGTAGGAACTTGGGCTAGGGAGAGCTGGATACCTGATGGGGTGCTGGGCCCGAGCAGTCCCGAGCTCTGCGGCTGCTGTCCTTGGTGACTACTTGCCAGGATGGCAGGTCCTTGGGAAAGTAGGGGCAGGAACACATGGGGAGAATGGAGAGCCTTGTGCTCATGATTCATAAGTGTCCAGGCCAGGGTGGAGGCCTTGTAGGGGATGACCTTGTGCTGAGAAGGAACAAGAGCAAAAGCCAGAGGCAGAAGCTGAAGATGAGGGCTGCCAGAGGGGCTTTTTCTGAATGTGGAAAATGAAGACATGGGCAGATTTTGCAACACTCCCACAGCCTGCTGTCTTCTTACACGTGTTCCCAGTCTCCGCCTGGTCCCTTGGCTCACCCTGTGCTTCCTCTCATCTTTCACCAAGTCCCTTTTCTACTTCAGTTTTCTCATCCTTCCCCCACCCTGTTCCTTCTGTCCCGCCCCCACAACCATGGTCACCCTTTCCCCGGTTCCTCTGCTCCCCCCCCCACTGCCCTGTTCATCTCTGTTTTGGTCCCTCTGGCTGCTTGTCCGGTCCCTGTCCTATGCTTTAATGTGGGCCCATGGGAATTGGAGTTCACAGCAAAACAGGAAGGGCCTGTGAGCAGAAAACTGGGGATGGGGCAGGGGTGAACAGCCTGCAGTAACCTCAACTCCTGCTCCTCACGTCTGAAGTGAAGCATCTGCAGAGCTCTGTGGCCCACCAGTCCTGAGGGGCCCACCAGCCCTGCGGCCCCCACCGGCCCTGCTGCCCACCAGCCCTATAGCCCATCTCAGAACTTTTCTTCAGATCTGAGAATGCTCTAGACTGGAACACAGGAAGAAAAGATCAATGGGTCTGAAGGAGGGACATCTGGATTCTGACCTCAGCTTGGCCACTAACGGTGTGGTCTTGGTCTCAAGCGAGCATCAGTACACACTGTAAAATGGAGTAATTTACCCTTTCTGCCTCCCTCTTGGAGTTGCTCTCAGGAACCAAAGAGATAGGGAGAGGTTTGTCTATGGAAACAAACAATCAAACGGTCAACAATCTGGTTCAGGGAAACACTACAGGAACCCGGAGGGTGTTAGGACAATATGCGTGGGGGACCTTAGCGGACTCCATGGCAGGAGAGGGTGATCTTCGAGGCAGGGGACAAACATGCCAGGCAGACATCGTAGTGAGACCTTTTACTAGGAAGGGGAAGGGTGGGGGGAGAAGTAAAGAGACAGAGAGGACAGAAGAAAGTGAGACAGGAAAAGTCCCGTCTGCCCCAGGCCAGCAGCAAGAGGGTCGGGGTCTTTTTTTCAAGACAGGGTTTCTCTGTGTATCTTTGAAGCCCATCCTGGCACTTGCTCTGTAGACCAGGCTGGCCTCAAACTCACAGAGATTCGCCTGCCTCTGCCTCCCTAGTGCTGGGATTTAAAAAATGCCCTGCTGCCACCAACACCCTGCTGGGTCTTTCTTTTAAAGGTGTTATTATTATTATTATTATTTTTTTTTTTTGGTTTTTCAAGACAGGGTTTCTCTGTATTGTTTTGCACCTGCCTGCAGACTACTGCAACCATGGAACCCTGGGCTGACCAGGGTACTGCCTGAATGCATTCTGCCAGGTGACAGGGGCACACCAGCATAATGTCTGGATCCTGACAGAGAAGAATGGTAACATTGCCCATCCTTAAACAGTACCGTGGACACATTGTGCTGATTTTTATTCTCATATTGATCTTGTGTGGCAGGCAAAGCTGTCATTATTACTATCCCCACTCAAAGATAAAGAGAGGTTTAAAGACATTACTTTGCTCAGTCAAGATCACACAATTGAATGGGGGTAAAGTTCAGCCAACAAGTGCTTTCCTAGAATAGGTAAGTAATATCCTGGGCTATAGCCCTAGCACTGAGGTTTGAACCCAGAACCCAAATGAGAAACGATTCTGCTAACAAGTATGGGATAGAAGAGGGATGTACTTTTGAGTTTTTGTTTACTTATGATTTAACAAACAGAAACATATCTACTGTGTTTCCTCTCTAAACTAGAGGCTGATCTCCTTGGGAGAATAAATCAATGAAACATGATGTGTTCCTTCAGGGCTGAATCTCCTGTCCCAGGCAGCAAGGCAGGAAAGCTACGGCTAGAGATTCTGTAGATCATGACACCACCCCAAAAGGAACTGCTCCGTAAATGAGGCGACCTGCTTATCTTTGGAGATCTATGATGGGCGGGCCCCTGGGCTGCTAGCATCTGCTCCTCTCCCAGGCCTCCCTCTCCGGGCCTCTTCCCTTCTCCGCGGCCCTTTAGGGCACACACACTCAAACTCACTGGAAGGCCCGGCACCTGCCTGTCTTCACCCTTGGAGTTCTACCGGCTTGGCTCAGTCCTGGGGCTAGTGGGGAGAGCTTGGCGCCTTCCCAGAGGCAGGGGAGGAGGGAGGCTGGGAACACAGGCTGGGCCTTGGTGTCGCAATTCCGGGCCGTGCCGGGACCTTTGCTCCGCGAGGTGTCTATGGGGGGAGGGGGGAGGGAACGCTGACTCTGAAGGCTGCTGGGATTAGGGTGGGGGTGCCTGAGAAACAGCCCTTCTGTACGAGCATAGAGCCTCCAGGGTGAGGAGAGGAAGGAGAGAGATGGAACTGGGACGGTCTGCGGGGAGTCGCCACAGTCTTGGGAGAGGGTAGGGGACAAGGTGGCGCCGGCTAAGGGTGGCCAGCTGGGGAGGAGCTAGCCTGGTGGGGAAGCTACCTCTTGGGCGGGGGCCTAAGGAGGCTAAGGACTCCGAGTCGCCGGTAGGAAGGACCCCTTGGAAGTCCCTCCCCTCAGGCCTTTCCTACTTTACTGCTTCTCCCTCCTGGGCCGTGTGCGCTCAGCTCTGCTCACAGACTGCCCGCTGCGGCCTCGAGGGCCCGGTACTGCAACACCCTCTTCTCCAGCAAGGGGGCTCCAGAGGCTGAGCAGCCTGGAAGTCTGGTGGCCTGGAGAGTCGTCTGGTCGGTTGCTGAACAGTGGGACAGTGGGACAGTGGTCCAAGGCCTCTGTCCTTGCATCTGGGGTGGGGAGGGGTAGGATGGGACGGTCTCTAGGGAGAGGAGGTCCAGTACTGGGAGATTCTTGGGATGAGAACTTTACGCTGGAACTTCAGAAATGGCAGGGGAAAATATTCTAGTGAGCAAATTCAGGGTGAGTCTGGATCCAGTCCTGCTAACTTTGGCTCCCTCTGTTAGAGCAGAGGAAAGGAGCCTCCGCAGACCCTGGAGGTGGGCCAAGAGACAGACAGAACAAAGCTGAGACCTCAGACAAGTCAGGATTCTGCTCTTGGCGCTCCTGCCTCCACCTGTGTGGCTATAGGCAGTTTCCTTAATCTCTTTGAACTTTCCTTATCTTTAAAATGGATTTAAGAAAAGTCCTGATAAACTGGGCAGTGGTGGCGCATGCCTTTAATCCCAGCACCAGCGAGGCAGAGGCGGAAGGATTTCTGTGATTTTGAGGCCAGCCTGGTCTACAGAGTTAGTCCCAGGACAGTTAAAGGCTACACAGAAAAACCCTGTCTTGAGAAACCAATATATATAGTCCAGACAGGCTGGAGGTATAGTTCAATAGCAGGCCATTTTCCTAGCCGGCATGAAGTCCTGGGTTCAATCTCCCAAACTGAAATAAATATAAAAAGCCGTGACTTCATAGGGATAGAAGAAGGCTTCACAGGCTAACACAGGAGAAGTAACTGTCAGCTGATAATATGAACTCTGATAGAAGGTAGCACAAGAGCTGAGGCCTAGTTCTGAAAGTGTAACCTGCGTCATTCCTGCAGGACAATGTCTTGGTAATGTCCAGGGTTCCAGGAAGAGATGTCCTTGTGGCTGGAGGCGCCAAGGCCTGCTGTTTGTCCTGGTAAGCGGCGTTTTTCAAACTTTCTCCCTGAGACTAGGCCTCTGGCTCCTCTCTCACCTCAGGAATCAGCCCCCTTCACTGTCTGGATCCAGCGCTTCTTAGAAACACAAGCCAGATCTATTCTTAATGTTGCTTGCGTCTTTCTCAGACCCTTTGCCCTGCTTCTAGTGCCTGCTCCGGGCAAGTCCCATGAAGTCCTCAATCTGGGTTTGTTTCTGGGGAGAGCTGACATGTCTCAGGCTTGGCTCTAGCTTTGTAAGTTCTGTCAGATCTAGGAAATTGATGTTCTCCCGCACCCCCAAGGGAACAAAGGTTAGCATCTTCATTTAAGATTTAGGTGTGCAAAGTACTGCAACTGACTAGTCCTAAATTCCTCGAAATCCTGGAATCTGAAAGCATGAGCTGGGGCTTGGGTGCCTTCTTTTTTCATTTGTTATTTTATTTTATTATTATTATTATTGGTTTTATGAGACAAGGTTTCTCTGTATTGTTTTGGAGGCTGTCGGACCAGCCGGCCTCGAACTCACAGAGATCTGCCTGCCTCTGCCTCCTGAGTGCTGGGATTAAAGACATGAGGCCACCACCGCCCAGTTTATTTTATTTTTTGAGACAGGGTTTCTCTGTGCAGTGTGGCTATTCTGAAACTCACCATGTAGACTAGGCTGGCCTCCAACTCAGAGATCCCCCTGCCTCTGCCTCCTAAACTCTGGGATTAAAGGTGTACACCACCACACCCACCTAGCTTGGCTGCCTTCTAAGGGTAGAGTTAAGTTTATAGTTTCCCAGCCAAGACTCTTGGGGATGGAGTCTGGAGAGGACATGAACCCACCCTCACTCTCTGTGCCTCTTTTGGGCTCAGACTCTGCAACAGAGTTGTGGAAGGCAGAAACCCAAGATGCAAGAGACCAGGGAGGCAACAGCTGCATCCTCAGGGAAGACACTAGGATGTCCCAGCCTGCTGGAAATGCTTTGAGGATGGGGTTGGAGACAGCAGAGCCCACAGCTTTGCTCCCCAGGGCAGAGACCTTTCCAGAACCTACAGGTAAGAAGCACTCAGATTTGGAGGAGGTAGGGGCTCCCTAGATCTGGGAGGCGAACTCTGGGGCCCTTTGTCTTTTTTTTTTCCTCCCTTTGTCTTTAATGTCACAGTTAAGTCCAAAAGCTTTGGGTCAGCTGGTCCTGAGTGACTTCGGTGTAAATTTTATCTGTATCTAAGGGGTTTCTGAGCCTCAATTTCCTTGTTTGTTATTTGAAATCAACCTTATGAGTGTCTTAAGAATCTGTGCTTATGAATAGTTCATATAGCCGGGCGTTGGTGGCCCACGCCTTTAATCCCAGCACTCGGGAGGCAGAGGCAGGCGGATCTCTGTGAGTTCGAGGCCAGCCTGGTCTACAGAGTGAGTTCCAGGACAGCCTCCAAAACAATACAGAGAAACCCTGTCTGGAAAAACCAAAAAGAATAGTTCATATAGTACCTAGTACATAATAGTCCTTGATAAAGGACAATAACTTTTATAACAGATTAAGCCAGGCACTGTGGCATGCCCCAGTGATTCCAGCTACTCTGTAGGCTGAGGCATGATCACTTGAGCCCAGGAGTTCAGAAGTTCAAAGCCAACCTAGACTCTATAGTGTAAATCTGAGATTTGGGGGAGAGAGGGAGGGAGGGAAGAAGAAGAAGAAGAAGAAGAAGAAGAGAGAGAGAGAGAGAGAGAGAGAGAGAGAGAGAGAGAGAGAGAGAGAGAGAGAGAGAGAGAGAGAGAATCATTCAGTGAAGGGAAGGGAATGAAGAGTCCCCAGCCAGGAGTGATCAAGGAAGGGGGACATAGACATTAAGCCTGTGTCTGTCTGTATCCAGAGCTTCGTCCACAAAAGCGGAAAAAGGGGCCGGCCCCCAAGATGCTGGGGAACGAGCTGTGCAGCGTGTGTGGGGACAAGGCCTCTGGCTTCCATTACAATGTGCTGAGCTGCGAGGGCTGCAAGGGATTCTTCCGCCGCAGTGTCATCAAGGGAGCACGCTATGTTTGCCACAGCGGTGGCCACTGCCCTATGGACACCTATATGCGGCGGAAATGCCAGGAGTGTCGGCTTCGGAAATGCCTCCAGGCAGGCATGCGTGAGGAGTGTAAGTGTCCAGAGCAGGAAGTGGGGAGAGCTGATGGGAAAATATCGATGCCCTGTTGTGAAGGCAGGCAGATGCTGACTCCTGCAGGGAGTGTGGATTAAAGCTTCCTTAGCTGGGCATAGTGGTGCATGCTTTTAGTCCCAGCACTAGGGCAGCAGAGGTGGATCTGTGAGCTCAAGGTCAGCCTGGTCTACATAGTGAGTTCCAGGACAGACAAGAGCTGCATAGTGAGACCTCGTCTTGAGAAACAAACACAGAAAAAAGAAAGAAAGAAAAAGAAAATGCATTTGTTTCTGGGGCATCGAGCTATCATCTCCTCTACCCCACCTCTGCCTCTTTTTCACACTTGCCCCTACTTCCTACCTCACATCTGGCCCTGTCTTCAGGTGTCTTGTCAGAAGAACAGATCCGCTTGAAGAAACTGAAGCGGCAAGAAGAGGAACAGACTCAAGCCACATCAGTGTCCCCAAGGGTCTCCTCAGCTCCCCAAGCCCTGCCACAGCTCAGCCCAGAGCAACTGGGCATGATCGAGAAGCTGGTTGCTGCCCAGCAGCAATGTAACCGGCGCTCCTTTTCAGACCGACTTCGAGTCACGGTACCTGATGGCATGGGGAGAGGTGGCTGTGCCTGAAGCACCAGCTAATTTCTTGACATCTGACTCACAGCGGTCTGTCTTTTCCTTCCTTGCACCCCCCGGTAGCCTTGGCCCATTGCACCTGACCCTCAGAGCCGGGAAGCCCGACAGCAGCGCTTTGCTCACTTTACAGAACTGGCCATCGTGTCTGTGCAAGAGATTGTTGACTTCGCCAAACAGCTCCCTGGCTTCCTGCAGCTCAGCAGGGAGGACCAGATCGCCTTGCTGAAGACCTCTGCGATTGAGGTGGCTGGAAAGGGGATGGGATGAAGGGAGAACCAGAGTAGGGTTATCTGTAGGGGACCTCCAGATATCCAGCCTGGAGAGTCTTAGCCACTGGGAAAGGGAATCAGCCTCCTTCCAAGGGCTACGCACCAAGACCAGCCCCTTCGTGCCCGTTTGAAAGCTGCTGCTTGTGTGCAGGTGATGCTTCTGGAAACATCACGGAGGTACAACCCCGGGAGCGAGAGCATCACCTTCCTCAAGGATTTCAGTTACAACCGAGAAGACTTTGCCAAAGCAGGTGAGATCTAAGGTAGCCTGGGGACTGGCTCTTTCCATCAGGGGCCCATCATGATTAGAGAGCTGTGGGCCTGAGGTTTGGGTGACTATACAGTGAGGATACTACTTGTCATCCCAAGAGAGAAGTTTGGGACGTTGATCAGTCACTTCAACTGCTCCAAATGGACCTCTGTCCACTGACGCATCTGAGGGGGTTGTGCAAGCGTCTTCTTGGAGGAGATCAGGCAAAGCCCAGAAGTGGCCTTCATTTTTGCTTTCGTCAGTGAAGCTCTACTTAAATCTGCATTGTGTTTCTGCTTAACATTGGAAAATATTGTGTAGCTAAGAAAAAAAATTCAAAGTCCACTGCATCAGGTCTTTTAACAGGCAAAAAGCAAAAAACCCTTTTCAGATAATGCTCTTTAAGGATTATGAAGGGTCACTCGACCATTACTCTCTTTCTGTCCTTCTTCCTGTGGGCTGAACAACCAGAATTGAAGCATGACAAACATGCAGAATGGGAGAGCTGTAGGTTCAAATCCAGTGTTTTCTCTAAGAATTGGTTCGAAATTGGTGTTGAGTCTGGTGCTGCTCCCAGCTAAGCAGTGGGGGTCTCTTATGCAGCTGCTGTGATGTCTCTGAGACTGGGACTGGGAAGGATGCAAGTCTGGAGGGGTAGGGCTGGAAAGGATGGCAGAAGTCTGGAGGACACTGAGGATGTGGCAGCTGAGAGAGCAGGCTGTGACACAGTGTGGCTGTTCTCAGGACTGGTAGATTCTGGTTTCCAGGTCAGAGTTCAGAAAACTTTCACTGGCATTTGGTGACTCGGGCCAGCCCATGAACCTCTTGTCACAATGTGGGCTTTCTAGGAAGGCCTCCCTTAACTGCAGGGAAGGGGAAGACTGTCAGCCCCTGCTGCATTGCTTTGTTTTCTGAATGTCTAGGTACTTAGTGGGTAATAGGGTGGCTCTATCCAGCCTTAAAACACAGCCTTGCCGGTCCCTCTTTTCTGCCAAACACCTTTCCCTCAAACGGTTGCTAATTTAGACTCTCTTTATCCTTGCCTCTGTCAGAATACCCTCTTTCCTGAACTCTTCTTTGTTCCTTCAGCTCTTATGGGATTTGTGCTTTCTGAATCTGTACCTATTTATAAGATTTCTTTATTTAAGCAGTTTTGATGTCATCGTGTTTTTCGTTTCTCATTTTATCGGTGTGTTCTTGGGGAAAAGGAACAGAAGGCTCTTTTTATTTTTTCTTCTCTTTTTAACCATTTTTTAAGGTTTGTCTATCTTGTTTCTCTCTCTCTCAATGTGTGTGTGTGTGTGTGTGTGTGTGTGTGTGTGTGTGTGTGTGTGTGTATGTGTGTCCTACTGTTTCTTTCCCTAGAGGCTCTGTTTTGTCAAGTCTCCCACCCCCACATCTACTACCATATGCTGCACACAATGGCTGACTAATGATTCGAACCAATCTCATTTGAGGGGTTCCTCCAGCAAGCATTAGCAAACCCACAAAAAAGCACAGCTCAATTCTAGAACCTTCTCTTTTTCTTTGTATGAGGGAGCGTTTTAGCATCTTTTAGAGCTTAAAATTTCATCAAGTAATGCTTTATAAAATGAAGCTGACCTATTGACTAGATAACACACAACACGGGGCAGACATCAGGATGAAAGCACAGGAAGTGACTCATCAAGAACCCTCAAATGGAAAAGTATAGCAGATGGTTGCTAAACGAAGTCTGAGAAAGCCTAGAAAACAGTGTGGGGCTGAGACATTGACAATGTGAAGGAAGAAATGTTTGCCAGGTGCCTAGGCTACAGGTCAGGGGTTATTGCATACTCCTTGTCTTCCCTGCAAGAAGACTGGTTTATTACTGTTGCTGTTATTGTTTTAAATGGGGGGATGGATATGCGGATCAGTGGTTCCAGTCCGTGGGCTGGAGAAGTGGTGTACATCTGTAACCCCTGTGCTGGGGAGCAGGCAGGGGTAGGTGGATGCTCAGGGCTCACTGGCCAGCCAATCGAGATGAAATAGCTTGCTCCAGGGTTAGTAAGAGAGCGTGTCAAACAACTAACGTAGAAAGCAATAGAGAAAGACACCTGAGGTTCACTTCCGGCCTCCACATGAGCACAAATGGGCACATGCACCCCCTCCCCACATATATGGACAGACAGACAGACACACACACACACACAAGTTCAAGGCCATCCTTAGCTACATAAGGAGTATGAGGCTAGCCTGGGGTTATATGAGACCTTGTCACAAAACAACAACAACAACAACAAAAAAACCCCAAAACAAAACATAAACCAACCAAACCCCAAAATGAAAACCAAGGGAGAAGCCAGGAATGGTGGCACTTGTCTTTAATCCCAGCACTCGGGAGGCAGAGGAAGGCGGATCTCTGTGAGTTTGAGGCCGGCCTGGTCTACAGAGCGAGTTCCAGGACAGCCTCTAAAACAATACAGAGAAACCCTGTCTCGAAAAATAAAAAAAAAAATGCAATGAATACATAGTAGATATCATATATGCATTTATTATTCTAAGAAGTTTATAAAGTGATCTTATTATCTCCAGATTACAGGTGGCGACTCTAAGGCATAGACAGTCACCTGGCTTAGTAAGTAGTAGATTCAGGGGAGTTAAATCTTGGCAGGCTTGAACCGCAGTCCACACCCTCAGCCACATTGCTGTATTCTATCCAAGATGTGCTATATCAGCTGTAACTCTAGTATTCAGATAAGGCCATTTGCCAGCCAAAAAGGGCTTCTTTATAAGCAAATTAAGAGATACCTCCATTTCTAGAAACATGACATCTTTGAGAATCCTAATAATATAATTGTTGTTTAATTCAACCCTTTTTGTGCTAAATCTTCTGCATGTTTTATCATATAACCATCTGTATTAGTTACTTTTTTCAGTTCATTGACAAAATACCTGTCGAAGGTAACGTAAAGAAGGAAGGGTTTGGACCTGGAGAGATGGCTTAGCAGTTAGGAGCACTGGCTGCTCTTCCAGAGGACCTGAGTTCAACTCCCAGCACACACATGGTCACTTCCAACCACGTATAATGGGATCTGATGCCCTCTTCTGTCATACAGACATGCATGCAAATAGAGCACTTATATGCATAAATAAATAAATCTTAAAAAAAAAAGGAAGTTTTGTATTGGCTCCTGGCTTGAGGGTGTGGCCCATTACAGGGTTAGCAGATGTAGAGCAGTGGCCCTCAACTATCCTAATGCTGCCACCCTAACTGTAATTTTACTACTAACTTATCAATTGTAATGTAAATATTTGATATGCAGGATATCTTCTAAGCGACCCACAGTTGAGGACCCCTGATGTAGATAGTCACATGGGATCACACACAACCCAGAAGCTTGTCTCCTAGGTGATTTCAGAGTCTGTCAGGTTGAGTTGGAGGATCTGCTCCCAGCTCCTGCCACAACCCTCCGTCTCCCTTCTTCCCCAGGGCTTCAGGTGGAGTTCATCAATCCCATCTTCGAGTTCTCCAGAGCCATGAATGAACTGCAGCTCAACGATGCCGAGTTTGCTTTGCTCATTGCCATTAGCATCTTCTCTGCAGGTGCGGGGGAGGGGCCAGAGGGAAACTGAGTAAGAGACTTCCACCCAGGAGGGTTGTAGTCCCTCCAGGGTAGGAAGCTCGGGTGTGGAGGACCCTGCTGTGTAACCTGTGTGTGAGAGAGGTTGGGTGGGATGTGTCCCTATTTGGGAATTGTGATTTGGGGTATGGAACCAAGACCTTGGCCAGACCTGCTCCTCAACTTTGTTGGTGACCTATAGACCGGCCCAATGTGCAGGACCAGCTCCAAGTCGAGAGGCTGCAACACACGTACGTGGAGGCCCTGCATGCCTATGTCTCCATCAACCACCCCCACGTGAGTCTCCCCGGTGCCTTTTCTTCTGCTCCTCAGGCCCGTTTTTCTTTTTTTGGTTTTTCGAGACAGGGTTTCTCTGTGTATGTAACAGTCCTGGTTATCCTGGAACTCACCCTGTAGACCAGGCTGACCTCGAACTTACAGACTACCCCATCTCGCCTTCTCTAGAGAAGAGCAGCAGCTAGTCTCTCTCTCTCTCTCTCTCTCTCTCCAGGACCGACTGATGTTCCCACGGATGCTAATGAAGTTGGTGAGCCTCCGGACTCTGAGCAGCGTCCATTCAGAGCAAGTGTTTGCACTACGCCTGCAGGACAAAAAGCTTCCCCCGCTGCTGTCTGAGATTTGGGATGTGCACGAATGACTGTCCTCTGTGCTTTGGGCCCCACGGCTGAGGCTTACAGACTGCTTCCCAGAGGTGGAGCAGACCGAGAAGGGCAAACATTCCAGCTGGGTGAAGGAGATCCTTGCATGGCATTAAAGGAGAGTCAAAGGGTTGGGTATTTTGTGGCTGCTGGGCAGTTGGAGACCTACGAACGTGTACCATCTGAAGACCTTATTGACCCAATCAAATAAACTATTTAGGAAGGCCACTTTGCACAGGGTTCTTTAGGGCCCTGCCCATCTTGCCTCTGCCACTTCCTGTTTATCCCCATAGGGCCCCAAAGTAATTCTCCACTATCTTTCTGCAGCTTGGTTGTAACTGCCTCAGGGCTGCTTCACCAATAGGTCTGGCACTTGGAACAGGAAGGCCAAGATGAATACAGAACTAGGGAAAGCAATTTCCTCATCGCGGGTGGGGGTACTGCGGTAGAGGAATCCTGTGTTCATTAGGATTTGCCTCCAGACTAAGGAGAGGGGCGAATGACAAGTGACAGCCTCTGTTCACTAGGCCCACGGCGTGAGAGACTCGCTTAGGCTTAGATGCATCTTCCCCTTTAATGAGCCAGGTAGGAGCAGGTGCTCTTACTGTCGGGGGAGGAGTCGGGTCTCCAGCAGTACACTTCACGTGTGTATAACGTCTTGCTTTTGACATTGGCATCTAAAAAGGAGTACAGCCTTAAAGACCCGGGGCTGGGTAATACTTCCCTTCGGGCTCGTTGGCTCGAGGAGGATGACCGGTGTTTGCGTTGTCAAAAGAACTGGACTCCATTTCCCAGCGGGCACCGCGGCACCGCTCTCGATCCCCTACCTTGCTGTAGGTGATACCCTGGCAGCGCCAACCTGACAGTGCCCCCGCCACCCGGAATTGGTAGAGTCCACCGGCAGACTAGTTGGCTTTCCTGCCTGGGCGGCTGGGCACGTCCAAGCAGCGTGTAGGGGGAGCCAGATGAGGTTTGAAGAAACTGTCAGGAAGTGTTAGGGTCAGTTTATCTTAAGGAACTACCTTCAGATTAAACACTGTTTCGTCAAGACGTGCTCTATAACCGAGTCCAATTAAAAACTGTTTGAACAACCAAAACACAGTGTATTCCTTTGGGTCCCCCCTTGGCACCTACCGGCCCTGGGCCAGCCCGGTGCTTCCCATCGCGTTCCCACTCCCACAGCGATAGGTGTGTGCGTCGCCGCCTTCCTCCCTGCGCTCGGTTTGGTGCAGCCCCGTTCCCCGGGCTGCGAATGGTACGGCCCCGGCCCCCTCAGCCTCCCCTCCCGCATCAGGTCGGAGTGGTACGCGCCCCCCGGTGCAGACGCGGAACTGGCGCCCGCTCGCCGCGGCGTCGAGCTCGGAAGCGAAGAGCTCTCCGCGGCCGGGAGACGTCAGGCGGGCCTGGCAGGTTCCTCTGAGCTGGGGAGGTAGGGGAGCGCCCGCCGCTGGGACCCCTGGGTGGGTCTTTGAGGGGAAGCGGCGCCGGAGAGGAAAGCGGCTGCAGGAGGAAAGGGTCTCGGAGGCTGCCCTGAAGGAGCGAGCGCGAGGGGGCGTGGAGCCTGCTGAGAAAGTGGGGCGTGAGGACGGGGGGTCGAGGCGGGGCGCCCGCGCTGCCGAAGGGCTGCGGGCTCTCGCGGAGCTCCGCTCCCGGGCGGCTAGCGGTGCGGGTGGGGGAGAGGAGCTGTCCAGCAGGTGAGGGGGCGGGCTGAGCTGTTCAGCCCCGGGCCCGAGGAAGGCACCAGCTCCGGGCGCCTGTGCGCGTGCGTGCGCACGCCTTATTTTTGATTAGCGTTTGGAGAACCACGTTTGGTTCTCTAATGTATACATATATACACATATATATATATGTATATATACATACATATATATATATTTCATCCTTCAGTGTTGACTTGCTGAAGACTAGACACACCGTTTATTCTTTGCTGCAACTGCTCCCCTATCCATCCTCCTCGAGCTCGATTCTTCCTCGTACTCTCTCCTCCTTCCTCAGCCTTAACCATCGCTGGCTTCATTGCTCCAGTTCTCCCCCACTCTGGACCAGTCTGCTGATGAGCTTGCAAGGTCACTGCCTGGGGAGGAGGAGGAAGGGGAGGAAGCCTCTAGTGTGCTCACGTCAGGGAAGATGTCATATCGTCCTTGGGTCGGGTTCCTGTGGTTTTTACTATGAGATCCTGCCCCAAATGAGGGACGAACCCACAGGGTTCGTAGTGTGGCCATTGTAGGCTGAAAAGGCATAGATTAACTAAAGGTCCGTAGATTCTAGACGTGAGTGGTGATGTAGGATTATAGCAGAAAGGATGTAGGATTATAGCGGAAAGGAATGTATTTAGAAATTTGAACTATAGCAGGACAGGAGCTAGGGGCTCTGGATTAGTAAATGAAATTGAAGCAAGAGGTAGAGCCTGCGCCAGGTTGGCTATGAAGACCACATGAGTTATAGGTGGTGGTAGTGTCTGTGGGGAAGGCAGAGAAGGAGAACAGCCTTGATTATCTCTGTAGTCTGAGTATTCGAAGTCAGTGGCTATAGGAATTACAACTAAAACTATATCCTACCACTGCTAGCTAGGATAGTCCCAAGGTCTTGAATTCTTGCGGCTCTGAAAGGAGATGAAGACTGTAGATTATGGTAATTGGCTTGAGTTGGGATAGGGGCTTCATGTCACCGATGCTAGAAAGGCCCCCATAACTACTTAACCAGAGAGAGAGCTAAAGCACTGCTTTTAGGATTTTAGCCAGAAGATGATTCTGTTTTTCAGTGTAAACCTCTATTTAAAGACTCAGCCTACAACTCAGGTCCTACAAACTCTGTTTTACGATCAGATGCTGTAAGTAGGCCTTGTTTATAGCTAGATGTTTCTATATGGAACACATGACTTTTACCTATATCCCACTTCAGAGCTTTGTTTCTCTTAGGAGGAGGGGAGCTCAGCTATGTAAGGATGACCCACTTCTGCAATATGCTCATGTCAGTGGTAGCTGGGAGAATCCAAGGACTGCATGACTGAAAGTGTGACATGCTCAGGAACTTGGTGGTGAAGAGTTATTTCTATTAAAAGCCGCAAGTGGGGGAAAATCAAACAAACAAACAAACAAAAAATAGAAGTGGAGATAATGTGAGTCTTAGTAGGTGCTGTCAATGGAATAAGGGTCTCCAGGTTACAAAGAATGAACTGTTATGGGCCATGGCTGACTTTGGAGTAGCAGCTGCTAGCACTGTTCGGTCACCAAGCAGGGGAGGGGCTATGATTCTGCTATAAATAGTCCTGGGAGCCTGAGTCGCTATGGAGACAAAACTGAATCCTATTACCTATGGGTCCTCTATTGGGAGCAAGGGGGAAAGAGGGAACAGTATTTTGAGGACACCAGAGGTATTGTAAATAGGTCTTGTTTACGAGAAGAGGAGGTGAAAAGAACTCACTATCTAAATCAAATAGTGTCCTCGATATTTCAGGCAATGCCTGTCTGCAACATGGGAGTGTACACAGCAAATGAAGTGGAGTGTATTTAGGTGTGTTTGTGTGTATATATGTACATACAGTGAACATGGTCTCAGGGTGGCCATAGCAGAAACATTTTGGAACACCTGAAATACCCTATACTGGAAGGAAACATTTTAATTCCTATATGAAAACCTAATAGAAAATATAGATTCTTTAAAAATATATTTGTTTAGTGTGTGTGTGCACATGCACGCACGCACGCGGGCGCGCACGCACGCACACACACACACACACATATGCACTCTGTAAGTGCAACGCTGAGAAGAATGACAGTTTCCCTGGAACTAGAGTCACAGGCAGTTGTGAGACACCCAATGTGGGTACTCAAAACTGAGCCTAGGTCTTCTGGAAGAGACACCAATGGTCGTAACTGCTGAGCCATTTCTCTGGCCCCAGGAAATAATTTTTAATATGTTTATAAATTCCCTTGAACACTTCCCCTGTACTTGCAGAAACCCTAGTATTTTCAGTCCCTAATTCATAATCTCTGTAAGATAGAGAAAGATCAGGCTTCCTGGGAATATATTGCTTTGTGGACTCCAATCCCGAGACCAGATTCCACAAGAGCTATTGGTTCAGCACCAAGGGCAGAGGTAATAACTTCTGGCCCCCTTTCTAGCTTGAACTGGGAAAACTGGTCAGAGATAAGACAATCAGGACATAGACGTTCTTCATGTGAGATCACATGAGCTAGAAAACCCAGCTGTTGTTACTGTCTGAATGCAATTAACTGGAGAGTCCATACGATAGTTACACATCAAGCTGAAAGCCGCTTAGTGAGACAGAGTAATTAGGTTTCCATCTAGACGGAAAGGCACAGATTAGTGCTGTTCAAACAGTCTGGTTGATCTTGATCACCCCTGAAGTATTCCTGAAAGGGACTTTTTTGTTATCATAATTATTCTGTCTAGATTAGGCTGTCTAGGACTGTTTTTTAGAAGCAAAGCTCTGGGAACTAGGCTGGAAATGAGCTAGTTAGTAGTGTTGAGCCATTATTTCTCCAACTCCTCTTCCTTCTGTTTTTGTGGTGCTAAGGATTGAAACCAGGGCCCTGTGCATACTAGATAAGGGCTCGACCACTAAGCTACACCCTCAACTCCTATTCTACTTGAAATTTGACTCTCGGAGTCTGTTCGCCTCTGGGAGCCCACAAGCCTAGACAAGTGTCAAATTCTACCCTGCCTGCTGCAGTGGAAGACCTTCTGACCTGTGCCCCGACTGAGATGGGACTGAGAGGGACGGCCGCCTTAGGCACAGCGGTGCATATTTATCAGTACTTTTCCCCTATTGAATTTTCAGATTGCATCAGAATTCCTCCTGGAACACTGACTTCTTGCTCAGTGCCCTGAAGTTTCTCTGCGATGAACTGATAAGTTGGAACCATGGTGCAAAAGAAGCTCTGCCCTCGGTTACTTGACTATCTAGTAATCGTCGGGGCAAGGTAACCAAGAAGGCTGATAATGTCTTGTTCTCTGAGGCAGCCACAACGTCCTCAGTTACTCCCAGACCTTATTTTCATGTTGCTTTGCCTGTCTTACTCTTCCCTGTTGTTTTACCCTGCTGGGAACACTGGTGTCGGTAGGGAAAGCCATACAGCTGGGTGGGTAAGAATATCAGTCTGGACAGAGACAACAGAACTCAGCTTTGTTTAGTTTTGTTTGAGATAAGGTTTCTCTGTATAGTCCTAGCTGACCTGGAACTTGCTGTATAGACCAGGCTGGCG